AAAATTACATTAATTTATCTTTTTGTGTGAAATTGGCTCATAATTTTGGCGGTTTGTTCCTAAATCTGCCAAACGGGACACTTTAACCCCGTTGTGTCCAGTTTTTGTGCGTCTGTCAGAGCTGGAACAGAGCTGATCCAGGAGGAGAACCTCATTCTGGAGCAGAAGCAGAACTCTGGTTCTCTGGACTCTGGTGTTGGAGTTTGTGTCAGAGTTTAGGAACCGGAGCAGGAAAACAAACAGAACAAACAGAAAAACTCAGTCAGGACTCAGCAGAACCGGGTCAGACCGTCTCCTGTATATAAAAACAATCAATAAAACACTTTAATCTGGTGTTTTCCTGCTTTATTTGAGTGTTTTTATGTTTTATTCAGAGTTTTTATGTTTTATTTGAGTGTTTTTTCTGCCTTATTTAGTGTTTCCTGCTTTATTCAGAGTTTTTATGTTTTGAGTGTTTTTCTGCTTTATTTGAGTGTTTTTCTGCTTTATTTGAGTGTTTTTTCTGTTTTATTTAATTGTTTTTCTGCTTTATTTAGTGTTTTCCTGATTTATTTGAGTGTGTTCCTGCTTTATTATATTGTTTGTCTGCTTTATTGGAGTGTTTTCCTGATTTATTCAGAGTTTTTATGTTTTGAGTGTTTTTATGTTTTATTTGAGTGTTTTTCAGCTTTATTTGAGTGTTTTTTCTGTTTTATTTAATTGTTTTCCTGCTTTATTTAGTGTTTTCCTGCTTTATTCAGAGTTTTTATGTTTTGAGTGTTTTTCTGCTTTATTCAGAGTTTTTATGTTTTATTTGAGTGTTTTTTTCAGTTTTAATTGTTTTTCTGCTTTATTTAGTGTTTTCCTGCTTTATTTGAGTGTGTTCCTGTTTTATTATATTATTTGTCTGCTTTATTGGAGTGTTTTCCTGTTTTATTTAATTGTTTTTCTGCTTTATTTAGTGTTTTCCTGATTTATTTGAGTGTGTTCCTGCTTTCTTATATTGTTTGTCTGCTTTATTGTATTGTTTGTCTGCTTTATTTGAGTGTTTTCCTGTTTTATTTTGTGTTTTTTAGCGTTATTTAGTGTTTTCCTTTTTATTGGAGTGTGTTCCTGCTTTATTGTATTGTTTGTCTGCTTTTTTGGAGTGTGTTCCTGCTTTCTTATATTGTTTGCTTTATTGGAGTGTGTTCCTGTTTTCTTATATTGTTTGTCTGCTTTATTGGAGTGTTTTCCTGTTTTCT